CGGTTCAAATAACAAGGGAAATTTGATGAGAGGGATAGGTAATTTTGTAATTTTATTAAAATTAAAGGTTAAAATCGGTATAAGAAAGGAATGGTGAGGGTGAAATTGGAAAAACAAAAAGGAAAACTGCATGAGAAATTGAACCGGTGGTTTTTTCGGTTCTACCGGTTTCATCGGTTTCATTGGTTTTGACCGGTTTTGACTGGTTTTAAACGGTTTTTGACCAATTTTGATCGATTTTGACCTCAAACGGTTTTTTTGTGTGAACCAAGCCGTTTTTATTATCGAGTATCAATCCGACCGGTTCAACCGGCCGATCCGATCCGGTTTTAAAAACCTTGAATTTAACATATATATATATTTTTTTGAACAGTTTTGTCATGGGTGGGTTCGAAACCCGCCAAGGGGAGGGGGATGTGCACTTTTCAGTGGCTCTAGCAATTGGGCCACACGGGTCAAGTGCAAAATTTAACATAATTTGATTCTAAATTAATCAAATTTAATATAATTATTAAATGCTGAAAAATTAATAAAAGAAAAAAACGGCGGCGACAAAACTCTTAAATTTCCCAGAGTTTGATTCACCTTATCCAATGCGGTATGCGGCTAAAGCGGCGGTGCCAATAGAGTTATATTATGAATAAAAAAAAATATTAAAAAATAAAAAAATTTGCCACATGACTCACGAAAATTTTCATTATAAATGTTTCTCTTTGTAGCTAATCATTATTCTAAAAGGCTTATCTAAAACCAATGGAGAAAGAAATGAGGTACTTCCATGAGGCCAGCCTCACAGATCAAGAAGGCCGGTTAAGAACGATGAGGATTCCTGTGGTTCAAGAACTCGCCCGCAGCGGGATCGACCACTTGCCGAAAAGGTTCACGAGGGTGCCTCCTACTGACCGGACCTCTTACACCTTAAACTTTCCACCGGTGATAAACGTAGCCAGATTAAAGGAAGGGTCGGAGGCAGATGGCCGAGCCGCCGAGCTAGCCCGGCTAGCAAGTGGGGTGAAGGAGTGGGGTTTGGTTCTGGTAACGGAGCATGGGATAGGCAGTTCTGTTTTGCATGGAGTTAGGGATGCTGTGGAGGGATTTTTTGGGTTGTCCTTTGAGGAGAAGAAAAGGTGTGTGGGATCCTATGCGAGTGTGGATAATTTGGGTTATGGCCGGAATTTTGTGAGGTCAGATGATCAACCGTTTGACTGGATTGATCGTTTGGCCATGAAGGCGGCTCCTCCAGGTGCTGATGGTGGACTGGATGTTTGGCCGAGAAAACCACCCAATTTCAGGTAAGAAGACGATTTTAGTTTATTTAGATCTATTACCTTTTTTTCTTTTATTTTTTTTAACTCCGGAAGTTAAGAGGAAAAGGGTACAATTACAAGTAGGAGGTTAATTGAATTCATTCATAATATTGGAAGTTCTAACTTGAGGTGCAAAACTAGGATGGGAGTTCAGAGAATAGGATGGTGCACAAATAGGGCAATCTTCTTTGAAGGTGAGGTAAGGCATGATCAATGGAGTATGGACTGCAAAGCATCAACTTAGGAATAGTGGAGTCCCTGTAAGGCCAAGGGAGGTGCCCTGATTGGGCTGAGACGTTTGCAATTCGTGGAGGGATTGCAAAATATGAAGGCTTAGGAATTAAGAATTGTGGATTTTTTTTTTTTTTTTTAAAAAAAAAAGGTATGTGTATAAGAGACAGTATAGTGACAGTGTCTGTACCTCACGCAGGGTCTCGACCCTTTGGACGGTAATTTCAGGGCGCAATTTTGAACATTGTAGGATTGTTTTTGTTGTTTATTTGTTTTTTTTTTTTTGGGAATATCTTCTTAATTTATTAAACATCCAAGACCATTTCCCTTCTCAGCCTTAATTTTTTTTTTTAGGC